AGATTTAATGATGATTATACTTAAAAATTAAGTGTAATTAAAATTGATATCTTCAAAGATATATTCGAGTGTCAAAATTTCACCCCAGGAATTAGACAGCCTTAATACGTATCTTATCGCAAACACCGGAGGGTGATTCCGAGGTAATATGGCAAACATCGGGTAATATTGTCCGGATTATTCGACACACCATTTACCAAGCTGTCCCTTGCCACGCCATTTTCTGGCATCCCGAGTTGTATCGGTTTCGCATGTACGGGGGAAAATGCATATGTACGCGGGTCGCATAAATCGTCCTAGCCGGTGACACTTATAGCGCATTACTCGGCATTTGTGGTGTGTCGTAGGGTATATTGAATTAGGATGTCCTCCCATGAGGATTACACGTCGCCGTTTCTATTCAGGATTTCCGTGTAAAGGATTAACGACGTCGCAAGGATTACTACGTGTCATTTTGACCATTTTGATATCGCATTTCTTGATAAGATTCCATTGTCAATAATAATAATTGTGAGGAAGATTTATTATCTTAAAAGAAATTTGATCATTTAGAACAGAATTGTAATATTAATTAATTTATTTTTTTATTTCTATTCAATTATTTTATTAATAGTAATGACTTATTAATAGTAATGACTACGCTAATTATATAGATGTTCTAATACTAGAATAAGATAATAGATGTTAAAACATTAATTTATATTTTCTAGTACGATTGACTTTTACATAAATTTCAATAAAAGAATCACGTTTCGTGAAGAAGTTGCGTGTCGCGTTTATCATCCATTTTTAAAAAAGGCATGTTAAGTCAATACTCGAATATATCGAAATTATTGTTGTCGATTTTCCATTATGTCGATTAGTTCTCTCTGCACTTCATAAGCGGCTGTCATTGCGGAAATCATTTTATAATTGTGTTATATTTATAATATCATTAAAAAGTTTCTGAATATATGTACATATACATAGTATATGCATATATAACTTTCATGTATTTATCAATTTCATGTATATACGGATTTAGATATTTAATCCTGGTAAAAAGGAAGAGAAGAAATAGGTAAATAAAAAACACATAAGAAACGTATGTTCTTATTACATAAATATAAGATATGAGCACTTTTTTATAATCTTTGTTTTTATTTTTTTGTGAGAAAGATATATCTAATAAATATCTTAAGATTAAACCAGGGTTAAATATATATTCCAAAGTGTTTAAGCCTATCCATTTTGGGGCAACGAATCTGTAAAGATCCAATTGCAATACTTTTATAAATCTAAATATATAAAAATAATCTAAGGCAAGTTTCACAGATTTGTAACCTCATTAAAAAAATTATGTCACTCACCGATCTGATGCGCAACAGCGGAGTGAATCTGTCTCGTAGCTACGATGATTCTATAATACAGAAACAGAACATTCAAATTATAGCAGCGCTCTAAATGATAGATATTTTAAAAAGTAATTTTTTACGCATATCGAATCTACATATTTGTCTTTCAATTAGATATTCATTAAAATAATAAAATAATTTTCGAAAAAAGATTTTTATATAAAGGCGTATAAAACTTTAAACTATTTTTACTGTCCCAAACTATAAGTTTTAAATTATCGAAATTTAAATAAATAATTCAAATAAATGTGAAACTAATTAATTTTTATGTTTGAGAAAAAATGTATATTTACCCCAAGATTGCTCCGTCGGTGCCCGATGCCTTTCCT